AGTATTCACAAAATGATATGTACTTGGTCACCCCTGGTGTCCAGGGGGCGTATCCCGTCTGTTAGCGCATCTCAGCTTCGATTAATGGCTTCTGTGTCAAACTATTGCCGAGTCCAGACGCTTTTGGAGTGAGTCTAATGACATTGGCTCCAATGCAATAGTTAGACACGTAGCAAACTTTTTTCAGCTTATCCTCTCTCCCAAGTCCGTTCAAAGAAAGGTGGAATCTTTGTTCGTTGTCAAGATTACGACGACATGCAGCAAGCAGGAGACCTGATCTGTTTACAGGGATGCCCCAACCTTAGAAATCTCCATTGCCATCGACTTGATCCAGATATAACAGCTCGTTTGGGTTGCGCCATGCGCCTCTTGCAGAATGTTCAGGAATGGGGGATCTGCAGTTGTTCAAGCCTCATAATCGAGAAGGTTTCTCTGCAGCAAATCGAGGCCTGGATTGGGAAAAGTGTTACACGTCGAATGCATCACCAGTTTTTCTCGTATCGCTGAATGAGATGGAGGTGCCCCTTTTTACGTTTCCTGGGCTTGTTTTAGGTTGGCAGCTTACATACAGCCCAGGAACCTTGCGTCAAAAGGAACGCTGCAACCAGCCTGTAATATTCCCGATTTCCCATCGCCTCTCCACCGTATGAGGTAGCCAGTTGTTTATTGTTGGTTTCTGGAGCCGTTCGTTCCGTTTTTGTTATCTGTTAGTTGACCTCTTCAACCTTGGACTGAGTCTCTGGGCTCATCTCCTTGATCATTGATCGATAGCCTCAATAACCTTATTCAGGCTAATTGACTCATTGTTTATTCCCATTAATGCTTCGCCTAAGATCTGTGACTTTACTATCAAGAACCCTCTTCTGGACCACTCGTATCCTACGACATCAATAAGATTGAATTCCTATTTGGGCCTGAGTATTCTAGAATGATACAAGTAAGTGTCAATTAAAACCGTCATTGGAGTGATTGACATCCATGTATATCTTATAACAGAGGCCTAACACGACGAAGTACCTTTTCTTGCCAATATTATGATATCTTCATCCTTTTATATAGGCAATCTCTTTCATATTCTCATAGTTTTATATGTGTCCTAGTCTAAACTTGTAAATAATGTACAAGCCTTGGATGATTTTTCGTCCCAATTGCATGGACTCGAAGAAGTCCAACAATACCATCACGTGAGCAATCACGTGAATCCATGCACCCTTCATCCAGCCGCATGTGGGGAAGCGGGCTTGGAGAACAACGTTGGCACTTCGTCGCATCATCGTCGGTATCAGAGCTTCGCCGCGCATCAACATCGCAGCTCGCTCTCTCCCAAGCGGCTGTCTACCCTTTTCGCTTGCAAAGCTCATTGATAGAGTTTTCTAACACTTCTAACAACCTCTCCACAGCCAACATTGCGCTATATTCGCATGCTTGGCCACGATACAAACATCTTGAACCTATTTTACTGGAAGACATCATGATAGATTTGTGCGCGCTGAACGATCCTGAACATATCTCATTCTCTTAGTGGTGAGTGGATTTACTTCAGCTGTTGCTTTCCTACCCTGCTCGCTTCCCCTGGCCTGGTCATTGCTGGATGTATATGTCCGGGACGGAAACCCTTCGACGCCCTTGGACCTAAGGACGAATTCTGCGTTGCACAAGCTTCCCCCAACGCGAGACTCTCACAGGTGGCTCAAACGTCGGAAAAGCACTTCTTTTCCATGTCGGTGGTGATTTGCGCCAGATGATGGACAGTGAAACAGAGTCCAGCAGCTTCGACCAGGACAGGACCATGCAAGAAAAGGATAGAGCGTGAGATAAAGTATAGAGAAATCCGCATCGCAGTCGTCACGAAAACTCTATTAGCGACCCGAATATTTGGGACAGGAAGCTTGATATCTGGTCCAGGGAGGTTATGGGGCGTTTCCTGAGGATGCCGCGGGCGGGGCACGGAGCTCAAAGCGACTACAGTTGACTGGCGTTTGTACTAATTTCTTTCATAGTACAATCGACGTCCACTTGCCCAAATTCTTTCAAAATGTCCTTCTTCGGTTTCGACACCACGCGCCATAACACGGCTGCGCCTGGCTTCTCCCAATCTCACGATCCATTTGCTGGTTTGTCTGGCAGGGATGGCGATGATGATGCTTTAGACTTCGAGGAGACTTATGACGGTCTTGGTGACCAGCTCGAAGAGACTGGAGACGCATTCAACGACGACACTTTCGGTGACAGTGGCCCGGCAGTCTCTCGCAGTGCTGGCAAGGACTTCGACTTCTTTGGTCAGACTGCCAAGGTTGCCGATGCGATTGATGAGGAGCATCTTCGCTACAATCGCCAAGGACCTGCAGTTAAACCCGCTGCTTCTGCTCAGGCTCATTCTTCCGTCAACCAATATGCCTCGGCCGACTACCAGTCTTACTACTCTAACCAACCTTACCAGCAACAGTCTTACCAACAGCAACAGCCTGTCCGATCTGGTTACGAGAAGTACCGCGAGCCCGAAGCGCTCCCCGATCTCCATGTTGACCGAAGCATCTGGGGCATTGGGCCATCTAAGCCAGCCCAGCAAGCATCGCCTGCCCCGGCTCCTACAGCTCAGTCTGCCCAGCATGCGTCCAGTCGCAAAGTCATGAGCTTGGAAGAGGTCGAGGCCGCCATGCGATCTCAGCCCAAGCAGCAGACACCTCAGCCACATGCTGCAGATCTTTCCTATCAGAAGCCACCTCCCGGGTTTACTGCTCATCAGCAACAGCCTCCTCAAGCTCATAGTCATGGCCATCCGGTGACTATCCTGCAGAGGCCCCAAAGCACTCAATCGAAGCCCACGCCTCCAGCCCCGGGCCTTCAGGCGACTCCCGCTCAGCATCAGCAACAGGTCCATGCCAACCCGACCCAGATTCTGCAGAATCCCAACCGCGCCGATCCAGATGCGCATGTTCCACCTCAGCCTGGACACAACTCCAAGCAGTCCCATGGCGCCATCCCTAATGCCGCGCAGTTGCAAGCTCATCCCCATATTCAACAAATGTCGGAGGAAGAGAAGGCCGCCTATCTGGATCAAGAGACCAAGAGGGCTAAGCGAAACCACAAGATCTGGCTTCTGTCGAAGGACAACGGTTTGATGACTCCCCAGGACAAGAATTTCATCACCCGTATCCAGCTCCAGCAGCTCGTTTCCGCTACCGGCAATCCTGTTGAAGGATCTGATGCCTCAATCGCCGAGGACTTCTACTACCAGGTCTACAGCCATATTCGAGCCGGTCAGCGTCAAAACCCCAGCCAGCCTCTGAGCAACTTTGCCCAGACATATCTCTACCAGACTGGTAGTCGTCAGGGTGGTATGCGTCGCCATGGACGTCCCGCTGAGAACCACCTCCAACGAATGGAGCAGCAGGTACAGCGCGCTGTTGAAGCTGCCAAGAACAAGCCAAAGAACCCTCAGCTGGTCATTGCAGGTAGTCTAGGAAAGATCTCCTTCAGCAACGCGAAGACTCCTAAGCCCCTCCTCAGCATCAAGCGCACCGAGAGCGAGCATCAGCGCCCCAATAATGGCAAAAAGGGATCAAGCCTTGATCGAAAGACCATTCTTCGAAACGTTGAGAAGGTTTATCAGACTCTGATGCAAATCGAGGACCATGTTCGGCTTATCCCACCACCTATGACCGGCCCCGATGAGGAGCTTGAGAACAAGCACAAGGAGTGGGCCACCATTCTAGAGACCTACAATGCCAGGCTCTGGCAAGAGCTCAAGGTCCATGAGCAGATAGGAGTCGTTGTTCCTCATCCGTTCATCGCTTTCCTGTCTTGTGCCAAGGGTGAGAAGGCCATTCCTCGTCTTTTCCCTCATCTTTCTTTTGAACAACGAACTACTATCTTGACCATGATTATCTATCATCTCGACCAATTGGATGTCGTCCAGGGTGCTGCTATTACACCGGGCGAGGTGACAACCATCAACTCACGAATGCGAGAGAAGATTGAACTTTTCATCTCTACTGTCATGCCATCGCTGATGCAATATTTCAACGACACTGGCCTGGATATTGTTGATGGAGTTTTGAATCTAATTGCTACCAAGCTCAACGTCGATCTTATTGCTCGATCAAGAATTGGCGTGTCAATGTTGACACTTATTCTCAGTCGTGCCGTGCTTCTCAAACAGACAGGCGCCGGCACTCCTGAGCAGTGGAATAACTGGTATGTAAATTCCTGGACCGTGAATCACAGGTTTGACTAACAAGCATCAGGGATCGAACATTTGAGATCTTGTTCACTAGACTCGAACCTTCACTGCCTTACATTTTCCCTGGTAGCGTCAACACTGGAGAGGATGTCTATGTATGGCAGCTTCTTGCTGCTATGGGCGTCAGCGCCACTCACGATCAACAAACTCGTCTGGTTCTTGCTGTCAAGGACCGTGTGCTCGACACTGTCACTGTTTCGAAGACGCTCCCTCCTGCTATGGGAGCAGAGCGACTGAACAGTGTCAACTTGTTCATGCGATCCATTGGTTTGGATGTCGAGCTTCTCCAGTAAACATATGTTTTATGAGCATGCATACAGGCTATTGTCGGTGATTCTTGGGCTTTTTTCTTGGGCTGGCATATAAGAGCGCTCAAGACGACCGGGATATGCAGGATGCAACACAACACAACAAACAGGGTTTACATGCTGGCGAAAATATTATTGGGAGCGGTCCAGCGTATAGGCATACTGGGTGTACATAATTACTAACCCATGATATGGCGAGCGCTTAGCGCTTTCATGTATACCGGCATTACAGCCGGATGATCTTTACTAACTCATGGGGAGAGTTTGGGAGGACTCTTGTCCATTGAGGAAATAGGTTATATCGTATTTGCAAATTTTACGCGTGTTTGGCAAAACTTTTCTATACTGTGACCTTTGAATTCTTTATATAAAGTTGATAGATCCTTTGCGCCGTCCCATGCAACCTATTTAGTCCCCTGAGTTTATTCCTAGCACCAAACTTTCACTCTTCATCCATCAACGTTGGCTGTTTTTGAAGCTGTAGCTCGAGGTCTGCCTCCCCGTCGAGGAACGGTCCCCGCCGCTCCACCTCGTGGTCGAAGCTTGGGCTTTCGTGCCTCGTCCGCCCCTGGCGCAGGTTGGTCTGGCTGTTTGGCGGGAGCAATTGGCTTGGGATCTTCTTTAACAGGTTCTGGCGCGGGTTGTGGCTTCTTGATACCACTAACAGCCTCAAGAAGCTCATCGTCATCCCATCGACGAGCGAACTTTGGCACAGATTCCTCAAGGGGTGGCTCATTTTCCTCCGCATCATCGGCTTTCTCTGCTTCTTCCGCGGCCTCCTCTTGAGCGGGCCGCAGGAAAAGGCTTTCGTTATAAACCTCCCAGGCAGCCTCCTCATTCTCATCTGTGTAGTGCATAGTTCGCCAATGCTCTGTCTGCACAGCTCGTAGACGATCAGCCATGGTTTCGGTGGTAACCGTATCCCCATCGCCAGTAGCCTTGACAGTCATGTGAATTGCGCGAGCAGTGCCGGTTGCTGTGCTGGGCGCCGACTCCTTGGTAGCGGCGTCTTGGCGTGCTTGTTGGACAGTTGCGTCGATGTGGTGAAGTTGTGGGCGTAGATGGACAAGTGATGATACAGGTGTGAGATGCAAGTCCTCTGGCAATCGGTTAGAAGATATATGGACTCAAGAGCCAATGTGACTTACTGCCTTGAAAGACACCAACCATATGCTGAACCTCCTTATACTCAGGATACTGTCCACCAAGGGTCTGTGTCCGAAGCACTTTATCTTGCCTAACGGCTTCTGTCCAATCCATGTTCTCCTGTTCATCCTCGGCCTTTTTCCTGCCACCTCGAGCCTGGACCGTACCGAAGCCAAAACCACCAGCCAAGCCATGGCTGCCGCCGTTCTTTGTCGCCATAGAAGCATGCAATGTCTTTCCCCATTTTTGACCCTTCTCGCGGTCATAAGCGACTGTGTTGTCGAGAGGTACATCGACTTCAACCATACCAGCTTGAGCCTTCACGCGCAATTCGGTTGGCGGAGGTCGTTGAGAGTCATCGGTTCGGTTTGGATGTTGGAGAACAAGAAGACGGCGGCCTAAAGGTAGAGACGGGTTGATAAAGACGTTGTATGTTGCGGTGACGGGGTCATCGTCGTCGTCGTCTATCGTGGTGGGATTAATGGCTGTGGAGGGCTTGACGCCTGAGTCGACATCCATATCATCGATGTCCATTGAGGCCGTGGGAGCCGGTGTATTCGACGTTGAAGACATGTTATGAAATTATCTGTATGGAAATAAAGCTTTCCTGCAAAAATTGCCAGTCAAGAACCTGACTAGGCCTTATGATTCGCTTTCAGTTTGTATGACTCTATGTCCTCTCCAGGCTCGCTTTGCGACAACCACAATGCGCAGCTGTTTCTAGGATGCGTTTGGCTCGTATGTCGATACCGAGTATATATACGGGGCTTTTACCAGTATCTTAAGCTTCGGCGTTTTTGCGACAGGGTTTAGGTGTGAAGTAAGTCAGCTTGAAGGTTGCAAGTTTAAGGGAAGTGAACACTGGGAGGGGCGGTTGTAGAGAAATTTCCATGTTCGTCCCCCGCCAAAGTTTAGACCGTTATCTTATCAGTAACAGCAATTCGAGAGTCCAACCCAAAGATGAGAGTCACTCAGTCATATCCCAAATATAATAAGTTAGTAGCTGGCTTAATTCAATAGAGATTGAATCTTAGATAGAACAGGTATTTACTGCATTTGTGACGCTTTTCTAGTAAAGCACCCTATTTGCATTGATCATTTCTCTACACGCAAGGCAACCCAAATTTTTAACTCCATTGAATCCAACAGGCAGGCATATAGCCATGAAACGATATCCATAGATCGTTTCGTTTCTGGGCACCCCAGAACCCAGAAAACATATCTATTAACATCAAACCGTCTATCGACCCTTTCCACGGTCGCGGCGTCCACCCTCCAATACCTTGACTCTCTTGTTGAATCTCTCTCCAATGCCACCTCCCATGCCACTTCCACGGGGTCCATCCGTTGTATCGATTCCGCGCTTTCGGCTCTTGTCCAGAAGAGCTCGAACGTTTCCGCCTGATTGCTTGCGCTTGGTAAGACGATCGATACGGTCGACACCCTCTCCTAGGTTGTGCCAATCCTCGCCACCAAACTGCATGCGGCTGCTGCGGCCAGCCTGCTTCGCCTTTTGAGCTCGGTCCTTCTTGCTCTCCTTGGGGAGACGTGTAAAGTTCATTTCCTCGTAATCTCGGCGCTCAGCTTCCTCCTTTCGCTCGGCGTCGGTCTTCATCTTGCGACCTCCCTGTACAATTGTGGTACCGATACTGGGCACCGCCAAAGGTGCGCTGGATAGCTCTGAAGCAACAAATTCATCCATAGTATGAGACTTGCCGGCGCGACGTTCATGCTTCTCATGTCGTTGAGGCGCATCCATTGTGGCGCGGTCTCTCTTGGGCGGGCGGTATACACCCGCAGCTCCTCCATCACGCTCCGCTCGGCGAGCGGTAACATCATCAGCCATGGCTCCAAAGTTACCGGGCTTGTGAGACAGAGCCTCAGCATCTGCCTCCTCCTCTGAGTCTTCCTCTTCTTCCTCAGAATCTGATCCAGCCGCAGCCTTGGCTTCCTTTGCCTGTCTATCGCGCTCTGCGTCGTCCGCTGTTCGGAGGAATCGGTCAATGGAGAAACGCAACTTCTCTTCCAAGGGTCGGGCTCCCCTTTCTAGGTAAAGTCGTAGCTCAACCAGCTTTGCCCTCACAGATTCGTCGAGTTCGGATTCATCCCCTGATTTATCCGAGTTTGATTTCGAGTTGCGCAACTTTAGTAGAATCAAGAAAACGAGGTTTTGTAGATATGACAGTAGAAGCTCATTCTTCACATCGAGAAGTGAAATGCCATCCTTCTGGTGCTCGATAGTAGCGAGTTTGGGTGTGACCTCGAGTGCTGATGACAGCGACTGGGTTAGCGACGTCAGTAGCGCCGGTAATGTTGTAGGTGCTGCCATGTTGATATGTCTGCCTGAGACTTGAAATCTCTAGACAATTGAAAACTGATGTCTCGTCGAAAAGTTTGGAGCACTTCAACTTTTTAGCGGGGCATTCTTGGCTTGTCTCCACATTCCTGCCTCGACAGCCACAAACGCCACAAATCCCCTGTTTCAGTGCGTGGCTCATTCTCCTGACTCAGCTAATATCTCCATGACAGATTACAGCAAGTGCCTTGAAGCTCCCTGTTTGACGATTTACTCTCGCAGCTGTTTCGCTGGCTTGATTCACCACACGATCCTTTATATCATTGATCGGACGATACAAGAGGCAGAAACTGAGTGAAATTCTCGGTAATCACTTGAATTTTAATTTTACCTCCTCATCGACTCGAAATTGCGGGTCGCGCAAGTCGTCGTCAGCTGGAGCTTTGATCGACAGCTTCACATCTCGGCTTTCGCAATCCTCCTTTGTTAACCTCTATCGGTCTGCGCATGATCTAACTTTTCAATATGCATTTCCGAGACTTTGCGCCTCGTACGGCGCTCGTCAGCTCATTGTTAGCTATACCACAGCTGGCTTCTGCCTTCTACCTCCCTGGTGTTGCTCCCACTACCTACAAAGAGGGAGATAAGGTTCCGCTTTATGTGAATAGCATCAAGCCTGTCGACCGCTCCCAAGACCCGCGACTACACGCCGTTGTCTCATACGACTACTACCATCCTGCATTCCAATTCTGCCAACCTGAAGGCGGCCCTCAATATGTATCGGAAAGTCTAGGTAGTATTCTCTTCGGAGACCGTATCATGACTTCTCCCTTTGAGCTTATCATGGGCAAGAACGAGACCTGCAAACCCCTTTGCGAAGTCAAATATACTGAGAAATCGGTTCAATTCGTCAGAAGCCGCATTGAACAGGGATACAGTCTAGAATGGCTTGTGGACGGATTGCCAGCTGGGCAGGAAGTTCTCGATCAGTTGACTGGCACTACCTTTTATAACCCCCGATTCTTGCTTGGTCAGGATGATAAGGACGACAACATTCTGTTCAATAACCACTACGAGATCGCTGTCGAGTATCACGAAGTGAACAAGGACCCCAACCAACGCCGTGTCGTTGGTGTGGTTGTGCAGCCCAGTTCAAAGGAGTACGGCGGCAAGGCTGATTGCGCCAACCACCCTCCCATCGTTTTGTCTGGAGGCGAACAGCATGTTAGCTTCAGCTACAGCGTGATCTGGCGCAAGTCCGACACTGCCTGGGCCACTCGATGGGATAAGTACTTGCACGTGTTTGACCCCAAGATTCATTGGTTCTGGCTCATCGACACTGCTATCATTGTCGTCATTCTTGTTCTCACGGTCATGTCCATCCTGGTCCGCGCTCTCAAGAAGGATATTGCTCGTTATAACAGACTCGACCAGATCGACCTCGACGACTTTGGCGGTACCTCGGTTGTTGAGGATGGTGTCCAGGAAGACTCTGGCTGGAAGCTGGTCCATGGCGACGTCTTCCGAACCCCTTCGCGCCCTCTTCTGCTCTCGGTCCTCGCCGGCAACGGTGTTCAGCTGTTCTGCATGACGGGGTGCACTATTCTCTTTGCTCTACTTGGATTCTTGTCTCCTTCAAACCGTGGATCCCTTGGAACAATCATGATCCTCATGTATACTGTCCTCGGCTTCGTTGGTGGTTATGTCTCTGCTCGAACCTACAAGGCATGGCAGGGTGAGAGCTGGAAGCTGAACATTGCTTTGACCCCCACCTTGGTCCCCGGCATTGTCTTCTCCAGCTTCTTCCTCCTGAACCTTTTTCTTTGGGCCAAGCAGTCATCAGGAGCGGTTCCTTTCACCACCATGCTTGTGATTGTTGCTATCTGGTTCATTATTTCGATCCCTCTCTCGTTCGGTGGTTCGTGGGTTGGATTCCGCTCTCCTCAGTTCCAGCCCCCTGTCCGCACCAACCAGATTCCACGACAGATCCCTCCTGTGAGCACTTACCTTAAGCCCGTTCCTAGTGTGCTCATTGTCGGCCTCCTTCCCTTCGGGGCCATCTTTGTTGAGCTCTTCTTCATCATGAACTCGATCTGGTTCAGCAGGATCTACTACATGTTTGGGTTCCTGTTCCTTTGCTATGGTCTCATGATCGTTGTCTGCGCTGCTGTCACTATCCTTATGGTGTACTTCCTGCTATGTGCTGAGAACTACAACTGGCAGTGGAGATCTTTCCTCGCTGCTGGTATGAGCGGCGGCTATATCTTCTTGAATTGTCTTTTGTACCTTGTTACAAAGGTCAGGGCGAGTGGGTTGGCTGGTATTGTGCTCTACATGGGCTATAGTGCCATCATCTCATTTCTCTTTTTCATTCTTACTGGTAAGCTCTTCTGGTCCCTTTCGGATTTACTATTCTGACTCTTTTAGGCTCCATCGGCTACTTTGCCAGTTGGTGGTTCGTTCGCAAGATCTACGCGTCTATCAAGATCGATTAAGAGACGGCTTTGCACCAATTATGACGAATGGATCATCAACGCCAAGTGACTAATGAACAAGAGACGGAATTTTGGTGTTTGTAAAAATACATGTACGACCAGCGTCTGGATTTCGCGTTTACCATGAGCCGTGCTTTAAGCTGCAAACAAGGGCCAGATCGGCAAGATCATGGTGATAAGGACCCGTGGTGTTGCATCAGTACGCTGCGAGTACGGAGTAGATTCATTTTCATTTAGACGGATATCAAAATCAGGCCAGTGCCATCAGAGCAGGGCCGTGTTGGCTATGGATGAGGGGATATTGTTCTGCATTGTTTTTAAGCTTGTTATAGATATCAAAAATTCGTTGGCTTATTTCCTCCTGCTCAATCGTCGTCGTCATCGTCATCCAAATCATCCAGATTAGTGAACTGAAACTGGGCCTTTTGTTGTGGAGGTCCAGTTGGGCTTCTTTGTTCGCCAGGGACAGCCGGACCACCAACCAAACTGGCGCGTCTCCAGGCCTCTTGGTCCTTTTCTCTCTGGCGTTCTCTCTCGATGCGCTGGCGCTCGCGTTCTTCGCGTTGCTTCTTCTCACGCTCTTCCTGGGCAATGCGGTCCTCTTCTTCCTTCTGCTTTCTCTCCTCTTCCTCACGACGCTTGCGCTCTTCTTCCTCGGCAGGATCATAGCCCTTGGGGTCAATGCCCTGCTCCTGAAGGAGCTGGTTAGCAGCCAGGGATCCAGCGCCAAGCTGGAGGTCGTTTGGCCAAGGGAGGAAGATCTGGTCGGTCAAAGGGTTCAA